GCCTGCCAAAGCCCCTATGGCACAGAACTGGTGATAGTGACATACCTATGACTTGGGACTTGATTTGGTATATTAGACTATCTTGACTTAAGACTTGACTCGAGACTTGCTTGTTTTGACTCCGGACTTGACTTGGAACTTGAGTGGTAAGACTTGTGACCCACTTGTTACTTAAAGGTCAATGATTTGTTGCCACCTACTGCTACAACATACAACACCATTTAATTTACTTTGGAAAGTTGCTCTGGAAATGGAAGGAGGTGATCCTCGGATGTTTTTGATCAGACAAACTTACTGGTGAATTGTGAGTAGCATGTTGGTAATGTCATGACAAAAATATTAAAATCTGCATCCTGTGGCCATTAGCGGGTAAGTTTTATTTAATACACACACATATAGAGCTTGGCGATATGACCAGAATCTCATATCTTGATAACAATAAACATAAAAAATAGCACATTTTCTATACATTAAATGAATAAATAGTTTATATAAAATGACTAACTATTTCTTATTACATTTTGAATTATTTACTCGGCAAATGAAATGTACTTATTGATATTAATTTTTTTTTTCTTTTTATTTGGAACCGCTAATTTCGAATTACGCATGTAACAGAATATAAGATTAATTATAAATAAAAGATGCCCGATAATGATTAATGAATAATCTTTTATTAATAAAAGATTAATGTATAATAAGGTCAATAGACTTAGTGGAAAATTACTTTGGGGTCAATTCTTCCATGCACTTAAGTAAAAAAAAAAACATATGGCTGCATGTGTCACGATCCGCTCCGTCCGACCCTAATGTGTGCCACGCCCACCTCATTACCTCGTGTTCATCCCTGATTGTTCTCACCTGTGGCTCGTTACCCTTAGCTTGTCTTTTGTATTTAGTCCCTGTTTGAGTTAATCTTCCCAGATTAGTCATTGATGTTCGCTGTCGTGTTTCCCCGGTCCTGTCTTTCTTTAATAAATCCCCGATTTTACCCTGCTTCCTGGCTCCGGTCGCCTGCTTTCTGGCTCGCTTGCCCCGCGATCCTGACAGCATGCTTCTTTGACCAGAGAACTTAACTCCCATCAACTTAAGAGCGGGATTTGAGTGGAGAAACACCAAAATATGGGTGTGTTGCATGTAAATGTCTGTTTTTTTCAGTGGTCGCATCCCAACATTAAACCGTGGTGCAGAGTGTTTCAGTAGGATCCTCAGCCTCAACACCTGGCTCCAGTCCACCTGCACAGCTCATAATATGATTTATTGACAATTTTAATCTTTTCCGGGATCGTGCCTCCCTCTTTCGGGCTGACAGCATTCACCCAAACTGGTTGGTTAGCCAAATGCTAGTGACCACGGGATTGACTACTTAGATCTTGCGATATTTAATGGCAGTCATTCTTGACCTATTTTAATCACCTTGCTACATGAGCAGGTAGAACAGACAGCATTTATTGAATTTTTATGTATATTAAACAAAGAAGTGATATAATTTGCCTAAAACATTCTCCTTGCTGTGTTACAGATTGTCTGATAGGCATTTTTACACAGAAGAAGCCATCAGATTCATTGCCAATCTTTTCCTTCAAGCAGCAGAGTGTGACAGAGAGACAGGAGAGAGGAAACTGCAGCTCCTCTCATCAGTCTGCAGTTATTCCTCTTTCCCTTTTGCTGGTGACACAAACACTGATGATGATTTAAAAAAACAGAGTGACTTTCTGCTGGATCTGTACTCATTTTTGAAAGAATGTCAGAATCCATCACGTAGGAATGTTCTGCTGGCATTGCGGCCAGTTTTTCAATCAGCTCCTGCAGTCTGGGTTATAAACCTCTCTAACAGGAAGGCGTCCATCCTCTTTAAAGAGCTAGAACTACAGACAATGAAGAAACCAGTAAAGCTTTTTGGCTGGTCAGATGAAGAGAATGAGCTAAAGAGTTTTCTCCAGTGTCTGTCCTATATTTCCCAGCTGGGGTAAGTTTCTACTTTTATAATAAAAGGTTAAAAGTCCAACTTTGTGTGACTTGTCTCAATGAGCTCAAGTTCACCCGATCTGCACCTGTTTTTTCATGTGCTACTGGCTAGGAGTACAGCTAAGTGACATGATTAAATTGCCCCAAGTTAAATTTTGCTAATTTCTCATCCAGTGACCGGACTGTTACCCATAACATTTGCTGAGCAACTTCGCTAGCAACTTCAAAAAAAAAATATATATATAACATCAGCTTAGATTATTCAGAACATAATCTCACACTCAACAGTTTGAGAACCACTATGCAATGTTCGTAGGAAGTCTTAAAAAGGCCCATACCTTCAGGTTGGGCATTAAACCTGGCCAGGGAGACTGTTACGCCCCCAAATGGAACTCTATTCACTCACCAGCTGTTTCCCATTAGCACTTCTTAAGGCTGGTGGTGAGGAAACCACAGTTACTGCTGGCCTATGTGGTGCAGGGCTGTCATGTCACACATTTCTTTAAACAGTCACTCTGCTATCAAGTGTTAATCATTTCATATAAGGTTTAGAGCAAAGTGATCAATGGACCAAACACAGAATCTATATCATACCTTTCATCAGTCAATGCAGAATGTCTCCAAACAGGAACATAACCTTCATATGCACTGTTGAATGAAATGAAGGATTGAAATAAAGTGCTGTTCTTATTAAATAAACCTAAAAATGTGATGACAGTGGGGCATGGTGCAGGCATAAAGAAAGCAACGACCCACTTTATGGCTCCAAGACAAAAGGGATTTATTAAGGAAACCAAACAAAACAGGGAAGGTACAAAATAAAAGGACCACAAGGGACCCAAAAAGCAAAACGGGGAAAACAGCAACTACCTACAAAAAACGTAGTATAACACAACATGGGGAGGAGGGCAACAAACACACTGTATCTAACCACACACATTCTAACACAATCACCCACTGATGAACTGAATACAGGCAGGAACGTAAATACACAAACTGAACCAGATAACGAAAAAGCAGGAGCAAAACATGAAACAATTAACCAATCAGAGAGGTTGCAGGAAAACGAGGAATCAGGTAGAACAATCAATAATCACAGGGAAACAGGAAAGATGTAGATCTAATAAACTTAATCATGGAACTAAGAGACTAATAGAACATAAGAACATAAGAAATTTACAAACGAGAGGGGGCCATTCGGCCCATCATAGGGAAACTTGGTGAAAGAATCTAATGCTAGGAATATAACAAAGACAAGAATACGTAATGACAAATGCACAACAAGCAAAACAGAAACCAAACCACAAACTAGGAACAAGAAAATTAAAATAGAAAATATACACTGGGGGACAAAAATCCAATAAATACAAAGAAACAGAGGAGGCTGGCCTCAAACTCATGACCAAAGGATTTACACACACACACTCAGCCACACAAGGGACTTCAAGGACAAGAGACAGGGTGGAGAACAGGATAGCTAGCAACACTTGGAAGGCAGCAGGACCAGATGGCATCCCGGGACGTGTACTGAAGGTATGTGCAGATCAGCTGGCCATGGTTTGCACCAACATCTTCAATGCCTCCCTGGCCCAGCAGGTGGTCTCTACTTGCTTTAAAACATCAGTGATTGTCCCAATACCAAAGAACACTCGCCCAGCCAGCCTCAATAACTATCGCCTGGTAGCCCTGACGTCTGTGGTGATGAAGTGCTTCGAGAGACTCATGAAACCCTTCATCAGCTCCTTCCTTCCCTCCAACTTTGACCTGCTACAATCTGCATACCAGACAAACAGATCCTCTGGAGATGCCATCACACAGGTCCTGCACTCCACACTGAGCCATCTTGATGAGGGATGTGGTAATTATGTGAGAATGCTGTTCATAGACTATAGCTCAGCATTTAACACCATAATCCCCCAAACCCTCTCGGATAAGCTCCAGGACTTACGTTTCAGTACATCTTTGCAAATGGGTGTACAACTTCCTGACCGCAAGACCACAGACAGTGAGAGTAGGGGATGTGTACTCCCGTACACTCACGCTGAACATAGGGGCCCCCCAGGGATGTGTGCTGAGCCCCCTTCTCTACTCCCTCTACACCGCGGACTGCACGGCCAGATACCCCACTAACTCCATTGTGAAGTTTGCTGATGACACAGTGGTGGTAGGACTCATCTCTGGGAATGACGAAAGGGCCTACCGGTGTGAGGTGGAGGGCCTAGCGAAGTGGTGTGAGGCAAATCACCTCTCCATGAACATCAACAAAACAAAATAGATGGTGATTGACTTCAGGAGACGAAGAGGGGAGCTAACTCACACCCCAATACAGATCAATGGAACCCCTGTGGAGAGAGTCAGCAGCTTCAAATACCTTGTTGTCCACATCAATGAGGACTTCACCTGGAGCACACACACAGACTTCCTCATCACTAAAGGCAGACAGCGCCTCTATCACCTGAGGCGTCTAAAGAGGTTCAAGATCTCCAACAACATCCAGAGGAGATTCTATACTGGAGTCATCGAGAGCATCCTGACTAGCAACATCACGGTGTGGTATGGGAACTGCACTGTACAGCAGCAGAAAGCCCTGGAGAAGGTAGTGCGCACAGCGGAACGCACCATGAGAACCTCTCTAGCAGCCCTGCAGGACATCTATGCTGAAAGGTGCAGATCCCGGGCCACCAGGATCACTAGGGACTCCAGCCATCCCGCCCACAAACTGTTTAGGCCACTGAGGTCAAGGATAAGCGATTATGAGTGTGATCAGTCTATTATGACTGTAAAGAGGTCTGCTCTGCACTTTGAGAAGAACAAACCTACAGGGTTTGTTGACTTGGAAATTATCTTACTAAATTTACAAACTGCAGCCTGAGTTTGAAAATGAATGGGATCACAATTTCATCTTTTGTCAAAATTTCTCTGATCACTTTAATGTTCTAAAGTATCAATGAAAATAAAAACAGATCACAGCTTAGTATACTGTATATGTTGTCTTACTTTTTGGATTACATAAAGCAAATTTATTTTTATTCCATTTTCATCACCTTAACACATGACAGGAGCAAGTAGCATTAAATTAGTTTTCATGATGCATGTTAAATAAAGTGATATAATTTTCCTAACCCATTGTTCTTATTGTATTACAGATTGTGTGATGGGCATTTTTACTTGGAAGAAGCCATCAAATACTTCCCCTTAAGGGGTAACAGATTGTCTGAATGCCCTTTCACCTCAAAGGAAGCTACCAGATTCATTGCCAATCTCTTCATTCAAGCAGCAAAGTGTGACAGAGAGACAGGAGAGAAGAAACTGCAGCTCCTCTCATCAGTCTGCAGTTATTCCTCTTTCCCTTTTTCTAGTGACAGAAACACTGATAGTGATTTAGAAAAACAGAGTGACTTTCTGCTGGATCTGTACTCATTTTTGAAAGACAGTGAGAATCCATCACGTAGCAATGTTCTGCTGGCATTGCAGCCAGTTTATCAATCAGCTCCTGCAGTTTGGGTTATAGACCTCTCTAACAGGAAGGCGTCCACCCTCCTTGAAGTGCTGGAATTCCAGACAGTGAAGAAACCAGTAAAGCTTTTTAGCTGGTCAGATGAAGAGAATGAGCTAAAGAGTTTTCTCCAGTGTCTGCCCTATATTTCCCAGCTGGGGTAAGTTTCTACTTTTATAATGGGAGCAATTTTAGTTAGCTTTGTCACGATAATAGATTTTTTTTCAATCACATTCATTATTTAATTGTTACGTGGAGTCCAGCTCCTTGTGACCTCATGGTCTCTAGCACACCAGCTTCTGTCGAGCACTGCCTCTCTGAGCTCCTCCAGATTCATTTCATTGCTCCAGTTATGCTGTCAATCCATCTCAGCCGCAGTGTGTTTGCTCGCACACGTCTGTGAGTATGTGCATGTGTAAGTTCATCTTACTCTTTTTTTTTCTGTTCCACCATCATCTATTCTGATGTTATTTCTTGTAATTAATAACACACTATAGTGATAAATTATGTATTTGTAAAATCTCTGGTAATGTTCTTTAAGTAAACTGTCTGACCTGGCTGTGACCGTGAAACCATCTCCCTCCAGTGGTCATCTGAAGAACACTCCTGCTTGAGAATGGGGCACAGTTCCCATAAAATCTGATCCATATACATTTTCATTCTGATTATTCAGTAAGAGCAATAAGGGAAAAAGAGTTTCTGTGTGGAGTTCACATGGTCACTGTGGGCTCCGGTTTGCCGTGCCAAGACACAGAGGGGGTAAAGAAGGCATGGGGAAAAGGACAGCAGAAGAAACAGAGTATGTTCTTATGTTCTTATGTTGGTTACAAAGAAAAGACAGAGTTGGAGGTGTTCACCATTTCAACTGTCAGTGAGCACTCTGACCTGTATGAAGCAACATTCTCTATGGATGATGTTAATTTAGAGATGAAGTTAGATACCAGGGCAGCAAGGAGTATCTTTTCACAGGGAATATACAGAGAGAAGTTCTCACATCTGCATATGCAGAAAGCAAGAGTTAAACTTTAAAACTTATAATGGAAGTTGCATTCCAGTTTTGGGGCAGATTGCAACCAGGGTGGTTTATGACGGGCAAACAGAGGAATTGCCACTTTTAGTTGTTAAAAAAAAAAGGATCAGATCTGTGTGGCAGAGATTGGCTAAGACAACAGCTGAACTGGCAGCAGATTTAGCAAGTGAGAGAAACAAATGCTAGGTCACTTGGAGATGTGCTGGAGAAATACTTAGAGGTGTTGAGAGAGGAATTAGGGACTATTAAGGACATACAAGCCTTGATCATAGTCAAACCTGATGTAACTCCAAAATTTTATAAGCACAGACCCCTCCCACTTGCTATGAAAGAAAGAGTTGAGAAAGAGCTCGGGAGACTGGAGAACGCTAACTTATCTCCAGTTAAGCACAGTGAATGGGGGGCACCAATAGTGCCAGTGGCAAAATGAGACAAATCACTCCACATATGTTGGGAATCATAAGGTATTTGTAAATCAGGCATTGGAAACATGCACCTGCCCATTGTCTTGTTTAGAGAAACTGTTAGCAACCCTTAGTGGGGGTAAGCTCTTTTCAAAGATCAGCAAGTGCTATTGGATGATGACTCCAAGAAATACACCACAATCAATTTTCACAGGGGATTGTTTATCTACAGTACAACAGACTTCCCTTTGGAGTTAGCTTAGCACCCTGCTTTTTTTAGTGTATTATGTAAAATCTGATGAAAGACTTGCCAGTCATAGTTTTTCTTGATGTTTTTCAATGGCTCCGGGATAAGGAACTATGGGTGAAACGTGAGTTTGGCAAGATTCGGATAGAGCACTTAGGCCATGTCCTAGATGAGTGCTGCCTTTACCCTTCAAAGGTTGAGCTATACAGCAGGCTCCTGCTCCTACCAGTGTCAAAGAGCTCCAGGCATTTTTGGTGACTTCAATTACAGAAGGTTTTTGCCACAGCAAAGCATACTTTTAACAACACTGTACCGAAAATTGACTGTGTTACAGCATGGCATGGCACAGGCAGAAAAAGAGTTACCATCCACGGAGTGGCTCATGGGACAACAGGAGTTGTTTTAAACAAATTAAACATACTGGTTGGTGGGGGAGGACCACAAGAGGTTAAAATGAAACCAGGAAAAATACAGAGCTAACTTAGAAACGAATAACACAACCAGGGAAACAATTAACCAGAAGTAACTGAGAAACGAAAAAGAAACAAGGTCAGAGAACAACAGAACACCAGAAGTGAGAACAGGCAAGGGAACAGAGTAACCAACGCACAGTGACATAGCACAGTAACCTAATGCATGCAATTACTTACCAGGGAACAGAGCTGAGCAGACATTTAAATATATACAGAAGTGGGTTAACAAGGGAACAGGTGTGGAACATGACCAAAACGACCAATCAACACACAGCAAAAAAGTGAAGCAACAGGTGAAGTGACTTATACTAGATGACCACAAAGACTAGGGAACTATAGCAACCACCAAAACAGTGAAGCACTAGAAACAGTGGCAGCTGACAATAGTAGGTCAGGTCAGGTCAGGTTGAGGAACATGCGCTAATGCAACACGTTGCCGTACCCACCACACAGCGAAACTCCTCGGGATCCCGGCCGGTGATCCCCTAGGCAAATACATGTCCAGTCCCACCATCTGGAAATGGCCATCGATCTGCCGCAGCCAGGTGTTACAAGGGCATCCCTTTGGCCTGGTCCAACCGTTTGGGTCCCCTGCAATGTGGAGCCTGTGAGTCAGATCACCCTAGGGAAATGCGCCACGTGGCCGTAGTGCCGTAACTGACGCTCCCTCACAGTGCAGGTTATGTGCCTCATTCGGGACTCCTCTAGGAAACGCTTATTTGACACAAAGTTGAACCGGTTCTGGCCAGTTAAATGTAAAGTGCTTTGTAACAATGACTGTTGTTAAAAGTGCTATATAAATAAAATTGAATTGAATTGAACCAGTGGTACCCAAGGATTCTCCGAAGACACACAGTACCGAAGGAGTCTTTGTCTCAGCTCACTGGATACCGTCAATGTCTCACAGCCATACAGCAAGACAGGGTGCACATGGACTCTAAAGACTTGGACCTTCGTCCTCTTGCAAAGATATCGGGAACGCCACACACCCCTTTCCAGTGATCTCATGATCTCCCATGCTCTTCCAATCTGCCTAATGACTTCATAGGAAGAGTCAACAGAGACATGAATGTCGCTACCGAGTCGTGCACTGCAACTCCTCTCGATAATATCCAGGGTGCCTTGTGAGATGAAACAGCTCCTTCTGGGAACACCGGCAACACCAACACAACCCTCGGCAGCCTTCAGGGTATTATCACAGAAGGTCACCCACATCACATTTGAGTCAGCAGTCACACCAAGTCTGCAAGTTCCTCACACAAATTGTGTGCAGACTCATCAGAAACAGCTTAGAACATAAGAACATAAGAACCATACAAACGAGAGGAGGCCATTCGGCCCATCGAGCTCGCTTGGGGAGAACTTAACTAATAGCTCAGAGTTGTTAAAATCTTATCTAGCTCTGATTT